TTCCTCTTGAGAAAAATTCCTGTGTGATCTCTCTGGATTTTTCATCGCGTAATCTCACTCTGTAGCTTTCCCGCGAGATCTCGCCTACTTTTCCTGGTTTTTTCTCGCCAGTTGTTTTTAGAGCTTCAATCGATGTTCTCAAAACTTTTCCAAACTATGGGGCTTCTTTAGACCAAACATTTTAATGAATTTTGGTGAAAGACGCAAATCAAAAAGTTGTATCGTTGTTGAGATATTGAAATTTTACTTAATATGGTCTTATGTGCGAGTTCTGCCTGGGGACCACTCATAGATTCCCTTTTGATGTCGTGGCTTGCGTGCAATGGCTCTTATGTAAAATGGAAAAAAAATACTAATTATTTAAACCTTATATGTTTATCAATATGTGTGGTAAGTCAAAACTTAGTGTTTTATAGACAAGTCGACACGCTATACAATCAGGACAGATCAGAAATTTTTTTTGGCGAAAAAAGGTTTTTAGCTTGGAATACCGGTATTTCAGAAATGGGTCGAAGGCCTAAGGGCAGCTCTAATGAGCATATTCGGAATCAGCATGCTCGATAACCCAGTGTCCGGGAGTACAGCGAGACCCTCACTTTGACTCATAAACTGGAAAGGATACATGACAGTTTTCGAGGCTAATAAGTCAAAAATTCACCTATTTTGTTAGGGAACATTTTATGCATTAAGCATTATTTCGTTTCATATCTAACCACAATGAAGATCATAGAGTTTTTCGGTATGATCATTTGTGGTCATATCGATGGTTCACTGAAGATATCGCTGCATAAACTGATATTGGCAGCAATTCTGATGCTGGTGACATTAATGTGATGCTGTCATAATTTTATGTATCTGCAGCACAACCTTTCACATCTATTTCAAAATTGCTCCTTGTTTTGTTCTGTTGTTATTGGCCATGTCTATACCACAGGAGTTAAGAAGTTTGATTGATGTTACTACTTCGCAACTTCAATCAAATTCCTTAACTCAGACTTAAAAAGTAAATTGATTAAACAACCATCAATCATTGACAATCTTATTGTCAACAATCAGAACTATTTGAATTGACTAATTATTTACAAGGGTGTCAAACAGAATTAAAACAAAAAATACCACAAAAACTATTTACAATAAATTCTGCTGATAAAAAACTATTCGATTTATTATACACAAATAATTATATCCTATTAAAGGAATTAGATTATCATGGAACAGTTTTTGCAACAATATCATCATCAAAAGCAGAACAAACAACAAATTCAGGCATTGTTTCGTTCAAAACAAGACGTTTACCTATGGAATAATTCAAAACATAATCTGTTTAAAGTCACAACAATGGTATCGTTTATAAGTGAACCAACTACAAAAAATACTTTATATCTATTCTGCTCAGCCGATTCAAATAATTATTATAATCCAAACATTCCGCACTCAAATCTCAATGACAGCTACGTTTATATAAAACCCGAACAATTAATTGAGAAGGTTTGTTTTTACCAGTCAGATGACGAATGTCTTTTTTGTGTGTCTACTGAATTTAGCCGATTCTAGTTAATAAATTAGATATGCTGTTTTCGTTCATTTATTCGTTCTCGTCACAATAATATTATAAAGGGTAGCGCTATTGCCACCGCCAGAGGGGTCACCAAGGAGCTATTGTCACCTTCAGAAGGTATATGATGTTGAGTAGTGATGTTGCAGAAGTTTCATGTACATAATTTTAACCACCGTAAAGTATGTTTCATAATCCATACAAACGTTTGATAAGCGAAGTAACTGTCCTGTCACCCTACCATTACCCATTACTTCTGGAAAACTATCCTTCAAATCCGGATAATTGACAATGTTAAAACCGAACTTGGTACGTTCATCATCTGGTTTGAGTTGTATTATTCCGTTAGTTATATTCATTTCGAAATCGAGAAAAGTCGCTTGTTTATCATTCAGATTCTCCCGATTTAAAGTTAACTGCACAGGATAAATGACTTATTTATTATGGTTAAATTTATCATCAGAATTGATAGTAATAAGGTCATACTTAAAAGCATAAAAGGAAACATGAGAAGCTCTAAAAACAACTGGCGAGAAAAAACCAGGAAAAGTAGGCGAGATCTCGCGGGAAAGCTACAGAGTGAGATTACGCGATGAAAAATCCAGAGAGATCACACAGGAATTTTTCTCAAGAGGAA